CCTACCAGCCAGCAGCTGCGTTGTGTAGATAAACCATTTGCATCAAAACCCATCTAGGAGGTCAACTGTGTGCAATCCCTCCAAGACATTTTGACAATCAATGGGATATTCACTACTATTCTCCAATACCACAACTCAAAGGCATTGATTCTTCTCCTGTCATTCTGTTACTTCACTGTCCAGCTCTCACAAGCATAGAAGTTGACCAGAAAGACCATAGCCTGAATGGGGCACACCTTAGTTTTTAAAATGGCATCATTACTCTCCAGGACTTCAGAGAAGTCCTTAGCTGCAGGCTTTGCCAATATGATACATCTCCAGATCTGACCACTGGTATGAAGGGTTTTGACTCTGGATCGTTGACAATGTCAGTCTTTTCTCCATCTTTCATGATGTTGCCTCTTGACCCAGTTTATTCTACCTTACTTACTGTTACTGCTACATGCTGTTGAGTCTGACTCATAGCACAACAGCTCTGAACCCTGTGCTAGCCTTTGTCTTCCTCACAATCAAGCCCCTTGCAGCAGTCACTGTATCAACCCACCCAGAGAGCATCTTCGTCTCCTTCATCCCTCCACTTTTCCAGGCATGATGTCCTTTTCCCAGGAACAGCCTCACTACCTTCATAGGAAAAGAAATTCCACTTAGCTTTTGTATTCCAAAAGGACTTGCAGTCCAAGACTCAGGGAAATCATACGGAGATTGGCTATCTAGCTGGTCTGGTCCAATCACACACTCAGGAACAGAGCACATATACTGAGTCTGATCTATTGGAGGAGGGGGCTTCTGACCCACACTGACCAGCATACTGGGTAAGACTCTATTCATCAACTGACCAGGCCCTCTCTCTTTGACCAGTGGGCCATTCTGGACCACAGAGATGTTCATCAGTTTTGAGCCAGGGTTCAGTATACCCAAAGGTCTAGGTATTGCTTATTCCTCTGCAAATAATCATTCTAACTGATAAGCAGAGAGGCCTTGAAGACTGTTTGGAGGATTCCCTGAGGCTGTAAATTGCAAAGGAGGAGACTGCCCATCCATGCTCTTCCTGCCTTTGGGTTGGCAGTGTAACTCCTTACTCGGTCATCAGAGCAGCCTCACGTCATTTTCACAATCCTGAGATTTTCACTGCACAGGGAGGAGAAGGCACTAAGAGGTGAAGCCACCTGTGAGCATCCACACCTGGGATGCCTGGCCCTGCACCTGCTCTCTTAACCACAGAGCTGCGCTGCCACCTCCACGTGTCAGACAGAAAGATGACTGGAGGGAGTTCAAGAGTTCTCAGAGGTCCCAAGCCCTAAAGGAGGAAGGCAGCAGGGGAAGAGCAAACGAGGGCTACTAAAGTGACCCCTGCAGTTCACAGAGTAACTCACAAGCCAGTCTTGTGATCAAAGGTGCCATGGAGACATAGCAGCAATCTGCCAGGCAGCTCAGACAAAGGCCCATGGTTTGACTCTGCGCGCTGCTCCTCAGAGAAGGAGGGGCAGGCTCCTCCTCCAGAAATCACAAGCCAGAGTCGCCAGGAGCCGGAACCGTCGCGACAGCAATGGGTTTGGTTTCCTGAGCAAACGGTTCCCTTTAGAAACAACAAAAAGCACTGCAGACACTTTAAAAAGTATTGAGAAGAGTTTAAGGTTATTTCTGAAGCCATATGCTTTTCCTCTTCACAATTCATGAAAACAAATGACAAAAAAAAAACCTTACTTGCTCACATTTTCTTTGTACAGGAACAAATATAAGGAAGAAGACATGTAGCACACAAAATACCACCAGGTTGGGAGCATGAACTGTGGAAGGATCTTTCCATGACTTTCAAATTCTACAGAGAGTCGAGAATTTTGTTAACAAATATAGGTGTGAGTCTCTATTAGGAACTTTCAATAACCAAAATATATGAAAGTGACAGATCTTAATTCTCATTAATACAATTTACATAGAAAATTGACTGAAATTCTAACTCACTGTCGCTGGACTAGAACTCGGAGCTGACCCTCCGCTGGTTAACAAGGCTGTAAATCACACGGGGAGAGTGCCCATCCCTCCCTCACTGCCCCCGGGATCTGGACCGTCCAGAGAAGTGCAGCCTTTGGGTCAGGAGCCCGCCTCCCTCCAGATGTGCCACCAGCGTTGCCTTAGGAAAATAACAGGAGGCGTCGGCTGAGGAAATGCACGGAGTCAGTAAAACACAGCTGCTTCTCAGAACTGAGCTGGGATGCAAGTACCTGGAAGAGCTCGAGACAAGGGCAGAAAGTCTTCTTAACCCCAAACTGAGAAGGACTGTGAACAGGAGGGTCAGGAATAGGGAAACGCAGGTTGTCCTCAACTGACACCACATTTGGGAGAGATCAACTATATTTAAGACAGTCTGTTTTATTTTGTTAGTCATTTTACAATGAAAGGAATAGCTGGAATGTTCCCCTAAACAAGCCAGCTGCTTGAAAACAAGGACTCAAATGGTGATCACTTTGTTTAAGTCAACAGGCAGATTTGGGGAACTGATGCAGTAAAAAATCTGATGGCGGGGAAAGAAAGAGGAAAAGGAAAAGACCACAAACAGTGCTCACCAATGTTCTGATTAGACCCCGCCCTTTCTCAGGCATGATCCTGGTCATCCAGAACCTTCCTCAAGTGAAGTTATTACCACAATTCACAAAATGCCAATATATCCAATTCCTTATTATCGGTCAAAGTGTTTATGATCTGTGTCCTTTTTATGTACGCATATATAAGGATATTTTTGTAAGTTGTAGGTAATGTTTCTAACATCTAAAGACAAAAATAATCAAATTCATTAAGACATTGATAATAAAAGGCAATGCTGCGTTGGGATGTACTGTCTGGTTGGAACTGATGCACAGCTGATCCTCCAGTGGGTTTTCAGAGCTAGCAAATCACACAGGAGATTTCCCATCTTTTTCCCATAGAGTAGCTGGTGGATTCAAACTGTGTACCTTAGAGAGAAATAAAGAACCTTCCCAGCAGAAGCCTAGACCACAAAGATATTCTCACTTATATCAGAATCAACTGAGAATGGAGGTGCTGGAATGGAACCCTCAACTTTGAACATCAGAATAAAAAAACCTTAGGCTGTGTTGGATTAATTTTTCAAAACCACAAGTCAACAAAAAGTACACGAGAAGATTGGTCAGAGGCTAAACAAACTGTCTATGTGAGGTGTCTGCACCAGGACCGATGGGCAGGGGTCTGGTCCAGTGGGCACCAATTCGTAGCTCTAGGGAGTTTTCAGAGGCTGTGGACTGCATAGCAGACTGCTAGTCCTTCTCCTGTGGAGTCGCTGGAGGATTTGAACTGTCTACCTTCAGGGTAGCCACACGAGTCCTTGCCAGCAGGCCCACTAGAGCGCCCTCTGAAAAAGGGTTCTGGCAGAGAAAGGAAGGTGTGGTGGATTTGGAAACCACTGTTGCTGGGTGCCATCGCGTCACCCAGACTCAGTGACAGAACCCTGCTCAGTCCTGTGCTGTCCCCACAATCTCTCCTGTGCTTAAATCCATGGCTGCAGTCATTCTGCCAATTTGCCTACAGAGTTAAAGGAAAATCGATCGCTTTGGCGGCTGATGAGATGTGTGAGAGAATGGGAGGAGGACTGGGAGGGCTTGGCAGTGTCAGGGGACACAGGAACAGAAACGGACATTGTCATTTGGACACAGTAAATCGTTACCATCACTCGGTAATAACTTAGGGCAATTTTTATGCCTTCCTACAAATAGTTTTGTTTTTACTTAGAAACAGAGAAAATAATAAGATGTGGCATTTTTCCAGGAAAGTTTTAACCTAAAAATAGGGAACAAAAGCAGGAAAGACAAGAGATTACTTAAAAAACAATCTAAATGGTCTCCAATCGAATACAGATGTCTCAGCTGGCAGCAGCTTCCACAGACTGCAAATACAGTGCACCGGGAGGAGGGGGTCCCATCTCTCCAAAATGAGTAACTTCTGGATGTTCTTTTTCTGCAGATACTGTGGGAAAGCTTACACTCTGCAGTAATAGAAACTAACTGGAAAGCTGGAGTCTATGCCTCTAACATCTCCTAAATCGCTCTCAGATTGTGCCGAATCATTTGTTCCAGGATTGTGGAATCAATTTTTTAAAAAATCTATAAAAATATGCTGAATTTTAAATATATGCAAAGTTAACATTTCTAAAACCTTGATAACTCCATTGTTTGTCCTGATCCAAGTAACATGAATGACGCCTTATGCTACAGCACCCCCTTCTGGAATAGGAAGGAAATCCAGATTATGTGGAACATGTTGCTACAATAAAAACAGCCTTTCGTGGTTACAGAAAGCGTGTGTGCAGGTGGGTGCAGGTGGGCGAGGGAGAGCTGAAGTGTGGGGAAGGCTCCCCCGACATTTTACTGAGTGAAGCAGGCCAGGTCCAGCCATGAGCCAGCCCAGAAGGAGCGTGCAGTTACAATAACAATTCACGACGGCCACATGGGCTCTATGATCCCAGACCGCGGGTTCCAGGCCAGATGTGACCAGACTTCCTCTATGAGAATTAGGTAAGTGGTTCTGGAAGAGGCACAGTTAGCCAGGGTAAGAGGGAAAGGGGAACTTTGGGCCAGAGGAATGGATCACAAGCAGTGAACTGAGCGAACTGTAACAAGTGCTGGGGAAGGAAGCGGCCTGTGTGGGTCCAGGGGAGCAATGCATGGACACAGAACAGCAAGGGCACGTCACAGAGGCCACACACGCCACGGCGAGGAGCGGAGGGGTCAGAACGTATTCCTGAAGACTTCCGAGACCCAGTCAAAGATGTCAGCACCTAAACATCAAAACCTGATGTACATTTTCAAAACACGTATTTTCTTTATGTTACCAATACTTGGAAAATTCCTGAGGAAACAGCTAGTATGCTACCGAGCTATCTCCTGAACAGATGATGTAATGCAAGGAATTTACTGGAACACAAAGTAAACCGCGAACACATGGTTTTGAAGCGGCGGCCCTAAGACAACACATGCAGGAGGAGTTACCTTTTGAACTCATCGTGGTAGAACTCAGACTTGCAGGTGACCATCTCACCCCCCTGGATGTCCTCACGACTCCGGACGCCCCCAAACACGTACAGCTCCATGGCAACTCCACAGGCCACAGCCCCGAATCTGGAAGGCCACACACAGAGACTGTTAGATCCTGGGCAGGGGGCTGACGATCAAGTTCTCACTTAACTCCTCACGCTCCTGATTTTAAGTCCATGACAGTCAATCTTTTGGGAAGACCGGGATGGACCTTCCTTTTTTTAGAACATGAATCATTCACTATTCACTTACTCGCATATAAACCAAATGCCAAACCAACAAACAGAAAAGTGAGTTTGAAAGAAAGGAGTGAATTTTCAGTTAACACGCTTAGCGGCTATTGAAAGGTTGGTGGTTCGAGGCAGTCCGCTCTGTCACAGCCTCAGTGAACGCGGGGCAGCCCTGCCCGCCCACAGGGTCACTAGGAGTTAGAACCCACCCGATGGCGGAGGGTTCTGGAGGAAAGACACCATCAGCAGTCAATGAAGAGGGAGGACAAGCAATCAAAGAGGCCACGTTCTAATGACCTCCAGGTGGAGAGTGGAGACAGGAGGAAATGACCGCTCAGGAGGCAACGCTGAGTCCACACTGTACACCGTGGGCACTGCCGTCTTTCTCCGGAGGAGGCACTGGTGGATTCCGGCTGCCAGGCGTGGGCTCCGGGTGGGCAGGGCGGTTCCCTACGGGGCAAGCAGCATGACTGCCCCAGAACTCCAGCTCACGGCTGCTGACTCAGTCTACACCCACAGCGACCCTCTACCGGGTTTCTGAAGCTGTGAGCCACCACAGGGCGACACTGCCCTCGGTCTCCCACTGGTGGACTGGTGGGACAACCGAAAGAAGGCTACTGTTGGGGACCGCTGGGTCAACCCCACCTCAGAGGGACCCGGCAGATGTCCTAGGCTGCAAATCTTTCTGGGGTGTAGCCTGCCAAGTCTCTCTCCACAGAGTAGCTGGTGTGTTCAGACTGCCCCGCTTTGGGTTAGCAGCCGAACGCTTATCCACTGTGCCTCCAGTGCTCACAGAAAGAGAGACTAGGAAATGACAAATGAGCTCGCTTTGAGAGCACCGTCAGCCCCGGGAAGGAAGGCAGGAAGCCGGAGGAGCCCTAGGAGGAGGCTGTCTAACAATGCTTAAGCTCCACTTGCCGGCCCACCGGCCTCAAGACCGCTGCCTCTTCAGCAGGTGCCAAGACAGGTGCATACGATGAGACCAGTGTGGCTGAAGCACAGATGAGCAGGAGCTGAAACCGCTAACAGAAATGGGGGCCCATGGAGGGGAGCTTTTCACATCCAAATGTATCACCAGGAAGTTACTGAAATGCTTCTCAAATACATGGACTTTCTCTAGAGAAACTGAAATTACAAAAGCTGGGTTTGTTAGTCTGCTTCACTGACTAACTCCCAATTATTTCTTCAGCTTCAAATTTATTTAAGAGTGAGGCATTTTCCCCCAGAGTCACTTTGCTGATGACAGTGCCATTTTCCTTCAATAGAGGAACATCCATCAACTGAGAAAACAGAGGACAGAGCAAGGACTCTGGGGCCACATGAAATTAGTTCGAATCCTGCCTCTGCCCCACGGTGAGCCTGGCCCACTGCTAGTCCTGGGACTCGTTTCTAAGTCCAGCAGCAGCACTGACCTCATCGGGCTCAGTGAACAGTAAATGGCTCACGCGTGTCCGGTGTGTGGTAAGTGCTTCCTAAGCATCTGCTATCATCATCAGCCACCAAGGACTTCCTATTGTGAGAACTGCTACATAGCCTTCTCTAAGTTATGGACTTTTCATTATTTTTGTTCTACCCTTTAGGACAAAATAAGCTTGATCTTCCTGTTCCTAAAGAGAGTGAAAAATGCATAACATTATCTACATTTTCAAAATAAGTCATCTATTAAAGGCCTCTAAGAATTATAATGCACTGCTTCTTTCCTTAAAAAGACACACATGCATTTTAGCAAAAGGACATTCGCTCTAGATGCTTGCCACGGTTAAGGGGCTTCAGACCAAAGAACACCAAGGGACTGAATGGCGTCCACACCTAATCACCTACCTCCTCTCCTTCAGGGGACAGATGGCCGTCCACTGCTGGGTCCTGGGGTCGTAGCATTCCACTGACTCAAAGAGCTTTCCATATGACCCGCCGCCCATGGCATAGATTTTCTTTTTCATAGCTGCATAGCAGCCAATCTGGAAAGGAGAAAGGGACAGTGAGGGGAAGGCAGTGTCTGTGACTAAATCTAGACCAATAAAGACGAACTTGTCTTTAGAGTTTAGACAGGATGAAGTTTCTAACACTTAGACTAAGGTACTTTGTAGGATGAAAATGCAGGATTTTTAAAACGAGAAGAGCAATGTAATCCAAATACCGTAAATCTTCAGAAAAAGGGCTCTTACTGTAATATGATTTCACTAAATGAGATAAGTAAACAATCCTTATAGTCCTAATCTTTATAGAGTCCAGGATTAAGATTCCATACAGCAAAGTGTTACTGTATGGGATGAGTTATGAGTTACAGTTCAGCGGCCAAAGATGTGACATTTCTATGGCACTGGCTAGAGCTCTGGCCTGTGGGGGTCAATGGGAAATACAGAGACACCATCCTCAAAAACCTCCCCAGAGCCATGTGCTTTCCCTCTAACGAGCCAGCAATCGCACTGCCACTGCACTGACCCTGACTGCCCGTGACCCTATGGGTCTTTTTCAGGGAGAAGTGCCTGAGAGGCTGTGGGTCTCCAGGGGAGCAGGCTGCCATGTCCCACGGGGCGGCTGGTGGTTAGAAGTGTCGACATTGCTGTTTCAAGTCTAGCATTATGCCACCAGGGCGGCCTGTCTTTCCTCTCCTCCGTGAATGGGTTATTCCCTCCCTGCACATGTTCTTCCCCAATCTCAAAGCCTGCACTAGATGGTCAAGATCAAGGTGATTTGGTTCTGTACTAGCTCAACTCACTGCCACGGAGTCTGGACCGACTCACAGCTGACTCCTTGGCAGGTCTCCAGAGGTTCAAAATGACACGACAGGAGACTGTCCATCCTCCTCCCTCAGAGCAGCTGAGGGATTAGAACTGTGCACCTTTGAGCTGTGAGCACAACTCTTTATCCACTAGCCTCTAAAAGTTCCTGTAAGAGCTAAATGCATTAAAAAGATCATTTCTCAGCAGTGCAGCGGTTGGGACACAGCCAGGCCTCACTAGGCACAAGGTCAAGGTGAATTCTAGCACATCCTCAGTCCTATCCTGGCACCTGATGAGGGTGAGAGCAAGCTACAGATGGATACAGAAATCTATAATGTTAATGTTTTCAACAGTCACCTGCACTGTAAGCCAAAGAGTCAGGAAATAAACAGACTTAAAATCCAATTTGCGAGTAAACTACTTGTGACACGACCCAGTCCTCACCTTTCTAACCATGGTCAAATCAGGTTGCTTTGTCCAAGTCTTGGAATAAATGTCGTAACACTCCATGGAAATGAGCTCCTTTTCACCATCCTCTCCTCCCAAAATGTACAGCATCCCGTCAATCTCCACTATCCCAAAGTTATGTCGTGCCTGAAAGACAGGGGAGATCTCTGTAGGCAAAAGGCCAGCAATGAGCCCGGCAGGAGGAAGGGGCTAGGAGGACAGGAAGGAGGGGCTGGAGGACAGGAGGGAGGGGCTGGGAGGACAGGAGGAAGGGGCTAGGAGGACAGGA